GATCTCTGAGACAGTGATTAGAGAACACATTTTGTGTGATGCAACCAGTACAAACAGAAAAGAAGGCACTGAATGTCTCAGGCAATCAGGCAATGTCCTTTTCATTATAATTAAATGTTATCACCTGCCTTGCTTCTTAAAACATGCTTCACACTTCAGACTTTGATGTCCACATGCCACCACCCCGCCACTATTTATGGCACCGTCACATCTGCCATAGCAGTGGTGGTTTTGAAAATGTTTTACCTGACTTTTAGCAGATGGATGTTAATGGGATATTTATTTACAGAATAAAATTAAATCGAAGCTGAATCTTAATGCACAATTTACATAATCAGCTTTGTTCTGAGCTGTTGAGCTGTTTTCTTCAGCACTTGGGACCCTTCAGTCACAGCTGCATCAAAGAAACAGCCACTGAGAATGGATATTAAACAATTTCCTAAAGCTAGAAGTCTTGATGAGAATCTATTATTCCATATTAGAATCCCGTCATTTCTCCAGACACTGCCATAACATCAAAGATGTATGTTAGAGCTTTGGCATAGCCCACAATCCAAGGAGAGATGTTCAATTTGTATTTAGAAAATATTTTTGCCAATTACACTTTTCTAAAAAATTGAAAGTTCTGAGTTTACCTTTCCTAAACAACAATGAAATCCATTAACCCAGAGGCACAGAAAGATTGAAAAAAGCTAAGCTGGGAATATTTCAATGAGTTTGGTGAAATTTGGTTGTGCTTTTTGTGCTGTGTAACCACAACGCTCCGTACTGCTCATCCTCAGCTCAGCAGCAGTTTTGCCTCTTTCTGTCACTTGCAGAAGCCACCTCAGGTGGCCATGGTCCTAAATTAGCACTTTCACTTAGGAGCCTCCATTTCAGTGGGATGGTACCACCTTGGAAAATGTGGCAGTGTTTTAAAGCCACCTGCCTTAACACCAATGAACTGCCTCTGTAGGTGACAATTCCTTTGTGCAGTTCATCCAAAGAGTTGCTCCTCCATCCTCTGTATTTCAGCACAAAGGCTTGAAAAGTATGGCCATGGCTAATTCTGTGAACTGGGTCCTCCATTGGGAAGATCACACCAGGCTGTTGGGAACCCGGACATCCTCCACCACCACTGAGCGTGGGCTTTGGCAAGTGCCACAGCTTCTGGAAGACATCCCTGATTTCATGAAATCACAAATGAAACTCTGGGAAACCTGTCTTCAGTGGTAAGCCAGGACTCAAAAAAAAAAAACTCAAAACAATTTAGACTACCTAAGAAGAACCACGAACAGGAAAGTCAGCACTTGCAGAGAGCCCAGCTACAGGCTATAATCCAATTTACAGGAAAGCAAGAGGCTGATGGTGACCTTGCAGAAAAAAAAGAACAGTTTTCCAAAAATAGTCCTGACAAATGAGTAGTGTAAAAATAAGGAGATAATCAGCAACAGTAAGAAGGAGAGAGGGACGGAAAGTTTGTCTCTCTGCAAAAGGTAAATCAGGCAGCATTAGAGTGACATCCATCCATATCAAACTGGAATAGCTATCAGTTTCCAGAAACATGCAAATCAAGGAGAAGAGAAAAAAAAAAAAAAGCTTACCCCATATTTTTTTCCAGCTCTGCCTAAATGTTATGATAATTAGCAAGTTGTCCCTGTAAACACCTACTGCTGCATTTTTCCTCCATATTTACCTTAAATAAGCTGCAGGAGCACTGTGCACAGCCCACCTCACCAGCACACACCCTGAAAGGTGAGGCAGGACAGAGACCTGTAGGACACTGGGGTGGCCCCACTGCAGGTAAGGAAGAGTGTTTAATGCCACTCTCCTGGGCGTGGAGTGAAGCAGAGAGTGGGCAGCAATTAGGGCTGTCTCCAGGCAGTCCTGTGACACTCCACAGGCAATTTGGCCAAGTCTCACCATCCGTGCTCTTGACATTGAATAACAGATCAGCTTATGGAGAACAAGCAATATTTAGGGTCATCTGCTTTCTCCCATCATCTAGAAGCGATCCTCCACAGCTGCCACCAACTCGTTCCAGTTTGTAAGCAAACAAGCGCGGATTAGAGATTTGGCACATTGTGGGATTTTGCAAGTTTGCTTATCATACACAGTTCTGAAGGTGCATATTTCATCCTACAGACTGGAAAGGGAGCCCAGAGTGGCTAGGTGAGATCTGGATGTCCTGTCCTGGACACCCGGTGTCAGCAGAGATGTCACCCTCCATCCATCCGGTGGAGAGCCGCAGTTTGTGTGTCCTTCCTGCCCACCTACAGGGACACAGCATGAGTCAGTGCCCTGATCACTGCCAAAGGAGAACTGCATTTCCAATGGGACACAAATCACTTTGTTAAAATAATAAAATACAACCGAAGCTTGCCACTACCCCTACTCCCCACTGGAGCTCAGCTTTAGGGTCCTTGTAGACCCCCCACCACCACCTCTTTTAACAAATATTACATCAAAATACAGTGAGAGGTAAAGCTAGGAGAAAAGTTGAAGGCACAGAAGCATGAGCATATTCCCCACCATGGGTCTGTGGCATCTATCTATATTATAATAGTTATAATCCTGCCTTAGAGAAGGAGGATATTTTCTTCTGTACATCCTCCTGATAATGGCCATCCCTCCAGTTTTTACTGTTTTTACACACAGCCCTCCTGCCCTCTGCATCGCTGAGAGCCAGCCCTTCCCCTTTTACTGTGAGAGGAGATTTGCCTCAGCATCCTGAAATCCTGACAGCAGAAGAAAATGCTCTGTGCTTTAAGCCTCTGAAATAAACAGTCATTACTGGTATTTGGCCTGGTGTTGTCTGAGTGAAATACAAGGTGAAAGATAATTCATCCTTTAAGTAATTTGGTGCCAAATCACTTAGAGACCTATAAACTGTAGTGACAAGATGTTTCTTGGGTCCTGTTGCGAAAGGTAAACCTCACCATAACCTTTCCTTCGCTTTGAAATAACGCTTGCACAATTACACTGCAGAAGTCTCCTTGTGCCTGTCTTGTTCGATTACCCAAAGACTCCAGTATCCTGCCTGAAAGATTGAGACAATTTGCACTGTATCAGGGATGTCCGAGACAGAGAGAAAAATGCATTTCCAGATGCACTGGCCACACAATGGAGTCTAGACTCGATTTTTAAACATGAGGATATCGATAGGCTCTCTGTCTCCTTTGTGACAGAGGATCACTCTTCATTGTGTGAGCGCATACACATCCAAGTACCAACCTAAGCCATGGAACAGCCACCAAGAGGCTGAATTTGACAACTTACTTCTCTGTTATGGACCAGCTGAAAACCTGCCTCACTGGGCCATTCAAGAAATTGAGAGCCCTCACTGCTCTGTGCAGGAGAGGTGGTCCTGCTGCCTGCTCCATCCACTCCTGTGACCCCACCATGATGGCTGGAGGAGGGATTCTCCTTCACTCACTAGCACTTTGTAGCCGACTATGCCCTCGGGATGCATTTTTTTCCTGTAATCTTCTTGCCCCACCTCCCAGGCTACAATTGGGTATGGCAGTTCAGCAGTTCACCCCAGACGTGGTGTCCCCCACAGCCTGAGCCCCCCACACGAGGGGGGCACCTCTTTCCTTTCTCCCTCTTCCCACCACAGGTAAGCTCTCCATCAATGGGCCAGTTCTGCTGGAAGCAGCTAATGATTAGTAGCAAGATTTCTGAACGACAGCTCAGGCTCACAACACTTCCCAGGGGCTTCAGTTGCACAGGGGCAGAGCATTGCCCTTTCCCTGGCCCTGTGATACCACTAAAAATATCAGTGCTCTTCCAGGCTTGAATGCTGTTAGCTCCATAACTACTCATGATTATTTACAGACAAAGACATGCTTAATTCCTGACCTCAAAGAAGAGCTTGTCCCAGAAGACCACCAAAGTCTACAGGAATTTTCCTTTTTTAGTTGCAAGCTGTAAATAAGACAAAACCCAGCCCTTCCTATATACACTGCAACCTAAAAGTGCCATTTATCAGCAAATAATAATCTCACTTGGAATCAGTAGGATTATTCAAGTGTACCAAAACAAGGCCGTTTGAGAAGAATTAAGACTAATTAAGGTACAAAATGATGAAAGCAATTTACAAATAACCGAGGCGGAAGGGGACATGCTGTTCTGCTGGGGGATGTTTGCTTTATGGTCCTGCTATGCTCAGAGGCAAGAGACAGATTCTTTTCTGAGGAAGAGCTTTAAACAATGGAAAGTGACAACAAAATATGTGGGGACGTGGTACTGGGAAAAGGCAACAACAAGAATATGGTAAGGGCCAATTTTAATGGAGATGGGTATCTGCTTTCCATTATCTGTGTATGTATCTATTTATCTGTCTCTCTGTCTATTTATTTATCCACAAGAAGTGCAGAAGACAGATCTGTCTTAGCTGGTATTTTCAGAATGGGAAGTATTTCCATTCTAAAAAAAAAAAAAAAAAGGAAGTTTTTAGACAAAACCCTAATGTCATGTAATTGCACTATTTCCCCTCATAGAAAATGTATTTACCATGATTGCACTAGTATACAGTGCCTCATGGGACACAGTTTATTTTTCTGTGTCCCATTGTCTTTCATGGTCCTGTCTCTTCCTGGAGGCTATATTTTCCCTGAAAGAGCGAAGGTTGGCGCATCACAGAAGACACAGTTCAGCCATTGAACGTGGCCAACCATAACAGCAGGGACAACTGGGAACCCAAACTCAGCTCCCAGCTGGGCTCCTTGTTTTAGGGAAGAACTCACCCTTCTGAAAAGTATGGCTAACTTAAGTTACCTCACGTGAAGTGTGAAAAACATGAATTACGTTTTGACTTTGTAGGCCTTATTATCAAAAACTTTGAAAAAAAAATGCTGAAAAACATGTTTTCCTGACACTAGGCAAATTCATAAGTCACCCACACCATGTTACCAGAAGGTGAAATACGCCTAAATATAAGTTTCAGAATAAAAAAATAACACAATGTTCCCCAGATTTTTTTTTTTTTTTTTTTTTTTTTTTTTTTTTTTTTTTTTTTGCTTTTTCCTTCAGTCTCTACTGAGATTTTATTAAGTTCCCTGAAACGAGGAGAGATCCTTTCCAGGAAACCGAACCAGCAGGTTTGTCACCAGGCTTCAGATGTCTCCAAGCTGACACTTATTTGCCAGGTTCTGTCCTGCTTCTTTGTACATTGGAAAAGTGAAGGCAATGAGCTCTTTTTCCAGCATTTCCATTTGAGCCGTAATGTCTGACACGGTGTTTTTCACAGCGTTCAGCTGGAGCTTCAATTTCTTGTACTCTTCCTGGTAGAATCTCCCCTTGTCATGGAGAAGATGAGGTCTCTCTCTGTCCCCAGGGAGGCGGTTCTCTCTCAGGAAGACCTGGAGGATCTGGTATAGGTCGTGGAGAGCCTGGAGGATCTCACGATCATCCTGCGTGCTCAGGGCAGCCTTGCTCTCGCTCTGGGATGGAGTGATGCTCTCTGCTTTAGCTTCCTGTTCCTGCTGAGATGCCAGGCCAAGGTTGCCTTCTTCTACACCTGTGGAAGCTTCAGCTTCTTTCTGAGCTGAGCTGGCATCTTTGCTCTCTTCATGGACCACCATGACTTTTTGGTCTTTCCAGATGCTGGGAAGAGTTTTATTCTCCTGCGGGAAAACCTCTAAGACTCTGTTCCTTTCCCTGACCAACTGGAGAGCTTTGTTGCTCGGGCTAACCTGGAAGCCTAAGTCCCTGTCCTGGAAGAACGGGAAGAGCTTCTCCTTCTGGAGGCTTTGCTGGATGGCATCATTATAAATAACCTGGACAGTTTTGTTCTGGGACTGGAGACATTGCAGAGCCTGGTTCTCTTCCCAGAGCATCCTGTTCTCAATACGGAGGACTTGGTTTTCCTCCCAGAGTGCTCTGTTCTCCTCCCAGATGCTCCACTCATTCTGTGCCTTCTTGCCAAAGAGTTTCCGATGGGTAGCAAAAGGTGGCTGGCAGTACATCTCGTTCACCCACTTACCATCGATAAAGACAAACGTCTCATCCATCAGCTTCATCCTCGGGATGGCATAATCAGTCTCGGGCCTTGTACACTGCATGCTCTGGTTTGTCAGGTCGAAAGCAGACATGGCCTTCCTCTAGTAAGCTGAGGCAGACTGTGGAAAGGTTTCTTCCAGGACTTCTGCAAGAGGCCACTGATCTAGCGAGGAGCAGATGACAGAAGCTGGAGATGACACAGAAGCTGGCAGAGCTTGATTGGGACTGAAAGAACAGGGAACATAAATGCAGAGATTTACACGTCACAATTTGGTGTCAGAATTAAATTACATTACACGACAGGAACAAACAAACAACTCTGTTCCCACAGCTGGCTGTGTTGGCTTTTGACAGTGGAAAGTAAGGAATCCACCAGAAATGTTGTCTCAGTGAAAAAAACAAACTTTGAAACTGTCCCTAAGAGCATCTTTTTCTCATTGGTGCTCAGTAGCCTTTGTTAACAGGATGCCACACAATCGTGGTGGCAGTTGTGCTCTTTAATCTAAAAATCTACAAAAAAAGAACAAACAGGGAGAGCACTGAATGATACAAAATGCACAAATAATTAAAAATCCAAACCACAGCACCAGGCTATTAGGATCAGGAGGGCTTTATTGCTCTCCACATGTTTTTTTCTGACAAGTTCCCATCATCACGTTCCAAAAACTGTCACAACCCATAGATAATTCTCCATCTCTTCTCCTTTCTCCCCAGTAACTCTGTTCTCGATATCCTCTGATAGCCCTATTATTTTTCTTGCTCTCTAGACCTGCAACAGTGATTGCTCATCTTTTTCCTACAGTCCTTCTGCCTCTTTTTCACATCACCAGAAAGCCCTCCCTTTAAAATCCAAACTTCAGGGTCGTACCGCCAGTGCTTCATATCCCAGTCCCAGAAACCTTAGGCTCATCTGCTCAGCACACTTCCTTCCTTCTGCCCAAAGTGTTGCTGCTTAAATCACCTTCTGGTCATAAGCGAGCCTGAGCAAATGAAGGATTTCAGTCTCCTGGCATGAATTAAAAAGGAACTTTTTGTGCCAAAAAGGTCTTATTTTCTGCAGTACTTACAAAAATTACATCAGTTTGATTTTCACAATGAAGTCATACAAAACAAGGTTGAACTATTTGTCATACGGAACAAGGATAAAACATTTTTTAAAACCAAATTGTTGGTATTCTTGGAGTTTCCAAGGTGGGTCTAATCCCTGAACATCCAAATGAGAGGAGGAAAATAACGAGTATCATAAGCCAAGCCCTACCTGTCACCAAGTTTCGTGGGGGAGGAAGCAAGATTTGCTAAAGCCACTTATATTTAATGTGTTTATATGGCATGTTTTCAGGATAAACAGAGAGTGTATGATATATACGGCATCGAAGGACGTTATCCTGGGGACAACTGAACTTGACAGCATCTCTGTCAGCTCTTTTTTTGCACTGCAGGGGAGATGTCAACCCAGGCTTCCACGGCGGGAGGGGAGGGTTTCAAGTTCTCCCACCTCCCTCACCGTATTCCCAAATTAAAAACTCCTACAAAAGGACGGGGAGGTGGGATGGGCAGGCAGGGCTGGGGGAAGCCACGTGGAATCGAGCAGAAGAGGGCATTTTGGCAGCACTCCACCACGTACCTGCACGTGCTCACCTGTTGGTTGGAGGCGATGACCTTCCCTCTCCCCTGCCAGGCAGCCTGGTCCCTGCTTGGTTTTTCAGCCTGAGGTCCTGCTCTGGGACAAGCAGGCGGCCAGCTGGGGCATCCTGGGGACGCTATGGTGACAGAGGGACAAACGGAACCGACTGTGATGCGAGCACCACGCCCTAAATCCAGCCCCCACCCCAGCTGGGGCTGGCAGCTCCCGCGCACCCTCCCTCCAGACATCATGCTTTTCCCAAGAGTTGCCTTTGATTTTTCCCAGTGTTGTGCTTTTGGGTCATTTCTCAAGGAAATGACCTTTCTGGTAGCTCAGCTCTCATGCCCTTTCTTGAACCCAAAGGCTTCCCTCTGCCTTTGATGCTCATAACTTGAGAGCAGCTTAGACGGCTTCTCTCTCTGTCACACCCTTCTAAAACAGATTTTGTTTTTACTCTGAACCTTCAAATTAAGTCACGTGCTGAGCTGATGCTGATACAGTCAAAAATCACTTCCTCCTATGCTCTGTGACAGCAGACATTATTTTCCAAGGACAATGTAGCTTTGGAGTTTGTCTATAGGTTAAGGGACAGAGTATCACTGAACCCTATTATGAAGAAAACAAAATATGCAAGGCATCCATGCATTGCAAGTTTAGGTATTATTTGAAGCAGCTTTTCCCACTTCTATATCAGCTATTCCCACTTCTATATCTTTATGTTCCTAATGTTCTTATTCTCTTTCTTATTTGCTACATTCCTTAAGATGTGGTTTTTTTATTATTATTATTTTTTAATCAGGGTTCTTGAATAATAAATACAGCAATTGATTTCATTTCCAGTGAAAATAACCATCTTGATATCACCCCCAAGGTGACTGTTACTGCTTTAGGAAGTTGAAGGTATAGTTCAGCTTCGGTGTTAGGCAAAGGTAATAAACTCAGGTATAAAGTTCTTCTCTGTAATTTCTCCCTTGTTTCTACTTCATCTGAGACAACAAAAAGCCATCAGGGGTTACTATGGCAACTCCCCAGGGAGCTGCATCCTCCTTTGTTCCAGTTCCAGGATCCTGCACAGGAAAGCAGGAAAATATCCCCTAAAGAGAAAGGAAAAGACGTCCTGGGGTACTCATGCTTGGCCTTCCATCAGATGGTAATTTAGGGATGTTCTCCAGGTGCAGCAGCTCCCAGGAGGGGTGGGTGAACTTTTGAGGGCCTGAGGCTTTGGACCACTGAAGCAGACTTTGGATGAAAAGTTTTAAGGTCCAAGAGCTGGCTGGAAAATGATTTAACAGAGACAAGCACAGCATAAGACTGGTCAGCAGGTAAAGCCTGCTTAATCCAGAGGTATTGAGAGCTAAATTAGCAGCATACCTTCACCTTTTCTTGTTTTCCTGAAAGTTGGACAAAGTACTCCTGGCATGTTATTTCTTTGCTGAAAACCGTGGTTTCAAATACTAATAAATTGGGATTAAAATTAGTGAATATCATCAGATGTGCAACCACATTTGCAGAGAAATATATCAAAATTGCAAAAGCCGCAATTCTGATAAAAGAATTTTTCATAGCAGCTACACTGATTTCTGAGCTGGACTCTCCAAAGGACACAGATGTCATTCACCAGACTACAAGGGCAGAAGTAATGCTGAGTGTGTTCCCCTCCCTGCCAAGAGATGAGTAACCCCTGCTCTGCAGGAAGGGTTTGAACCAACTTCCCAGCTGAGCGCTTTGTCTACAGCTCCAGACTATTCGATTCCTCCAGGTGAAGCTGTTTCATAAAAGAGAACCCAAAATTAATCGGAAACGAAGGCATATTCCTCTTCTCCACTGCACACCCTACACCAGGCTTCTTCTTAGAATTTACCCAGTTCTGGAAATGATCCAGCGGGAACATGTGGATGATCACCCCACACACACAAACACACGATACTCTCCAGTTTGGAAACCCAGCTCCACGCTGGGCTGTGAGAGATCACCAGCAGGTGCTGGGCTGGAAAAGGAGGGAGGTGGAGGCCTAAAGTGATGCTGTGAAGATTTAACGGGAAGGACCCTGGAGACCCCATCTCACCCCCTTCCCATTGAGAATAGTGGCATGTACCTAAAGCAAAGTTCAGATCTTGCTTTCCTTTGCTTTTGGGCTTAAAAGCCCTGCTAAAGTGCCTGCAATCAAAACAGTCTGCTTTTTAATAAAAGCATAATGTTTCTTCTCTTTTTTTTTTTTTATTTTAATAAATGTTTTTAAATCCTAAAACTTTATTTAATAAAGCCAAAGGAATCTGCTTGCACTTTTTATCACCCCAAACAAATTTGTGCTTTTGAAATTCCTGCCTCTGTTCATGTCAGCACAAGCTGCTGACCCCACGCTGATCCCCCATCCTCCGGGGCATTATGCCTTCATGCAGATCCCACCGAGTCACTAAAAAGATTCCTGCATATATGAGTGATCTCGAATCCTCTCCTGACCTGAATAACTGGGTAGGGAGTAAAAATGATGTTTTGTCAGCTTTCGTGGCAGCGATGTGCCTGGAGTGATATGTCAGCGCTGTACTCTGCCCGGGACGAGCTGAGTGCACTTGGTCAGCAGTGTGAAATCAGTAATGAAAGCCTCCAGAGCAGGGATTTTTTTTTTCAGAATGATAAATGGCTCCAGGGGCACACCTATGTCACGATGTATTCGGACTAATTGCCCTTCCAGGGACTGCACCACAGCACTGCTGTCACTGTGCCTAAGTAACCCTCAAACGTACAATGTTGTGCAAAAAAACTCTCTGCGTGCCCATGCCACCACTGGCCAGGATGGCTAGGTCAGCTGAGAGCTGGACTAAAAGGTGGAAAGCCCCCTTTATAGCTCCCCTCTCTATAAATCTAAGAATATATAAAAGAAAAAAGAAAAAAGAAAAAAAAAGAAAAAAAAAAAAGTTTCTTTTGGGACATTGAGCAAGCCGTCTGTTTCCTTACCCCTGTTTCCTCAAGCATGCAGTGAGTTTGGGATGCTGACTTTTTGATGTGAGCTGTCAAGAGAAGTTAATTCTTATTTGTACAGTGCTCTGAGCGTGAAGAGCACTTTGGTGAAGCAGCCCCATGCACCAGCCCTGTTTATCTCCACGACTGTAATACACACGGTGTTTACAAGTTGAAAAAAAAATAATAAATTGGTGTTTGCCAGTAAATGACACCTTATGGAGACGTCAGGCTTTGAGTGGTTCCATCTCAGATCTCATTCCCACTTTGCCTTTCAGCTTCTTTCAGCTGTGAATATTTCTTGTGTGCAGCCTGCTGGTCAGCTCTAAGCCATTGCCTGTCAATGCTACTCCTCTGCACTCTGTCTCTGTGGTGTACGACTCGTGATCCTTGCCAACAAAAATACTCGCAGCCCAAAAGTCAGAAGCTCCATTTTTGATTGACAGCGAGAAAATTGAGGATTCGGGCTTATTAAGAAAGCGCTAATAGTGATTTATGGGGTCCTGTACATTTTAATCTAGAAAAAAAAATGAAAATCATCTAATTAGCTAAGTGTGTAATCCTGTATATTAATTGTCTATTAGCCACTTCTTAATTATAATGGAATGCTTATCAAATAACATGTGATGGCCACGTAGTACCAATTTAAGTCATTATCAGGCTAGCTCCTGCTTTAATAGGGAGCTGGTTTATAGAAATCCAACCACTGCATTTTGTTTTAAAAGCTGTAAGGAAGAGGGAGTTAAGACCTTTAAAAATTAGTATCCCACTAGGATTTACCAGACAGTATACTATAAACAAGGCTACACGAGGAATGATGAAAGCCACATAAAAAATCTGTTCAGATGCTAACCCAGAAGATTAAACAGCAGAGCACGGTGGGAACCTCCAAGGGAAGAAAGATGTCCCTCATTCAGAAACACTGCCAATCCCAGGCATTTCCTGCCCCTTGACTCTTGGACTTTACAGCCATAATGCTCAGCTGACCTGTGCTTGTGCTTCTGACATTGTTAATTAGAAGAATGGAGAAAATTTGATGTGATACAACATTTCTCTTCACACCTCACCTGCAGGATGCCAGCATCTCCACAATTTCACGGGAACATACTGATGCCCAAGAAACCTGGAGACCCCCAAATTCCAGTTTGGGATCTGTGGGATAGACAGGGTTTCCTAGTGTTTCACCGCAGCCCAGCTCCATCAGCTACCTTGCACCTCTTCTTGTGTGTCTTCCCCAGTCACTGCTGCCCCAGGTTTCTTTCTCCTTTTCCTGTATAGCTCATCCTGCTGTTTACAGGCATTCAAGACTTGTTCTCTCATATTTTTTTTCACCAGGTCTTTAGGGGCACAGGAACTGTTCGGTAATCTCACTACAATCAAACCCACTCTCTACCCAGTGGGTTTCTGTAGCGGTAGCTTCATCGCCTGAATTTAGTAAGGAGCTCAGCACCCAGCTCCAAGGACTGTCCTTCCACATTTTTTTTGCCTATGATTGCACCCAGGCTTTGACAAGCATCTTACTAATAATATAAATAATAATAATATAAATAATAATAATATAAATAATAATAATATAAATAATAATAATATAAATAATAATAATATGAAAAATAATAATAATACAAAAGCTTGAAGGGTCTTTCAAGCTGACTGCTAGACACAGTAGGCTTACCAAAAATATGCAGAAAGCATAGAAAAAAAAAGCAATACAGGATTATAATAAAACTTCCAACATGGAGAGGTGCTGAAATTAGACAATTTCAAGCTCTTTGGAGCCAATGGTTCAGCTGTCTGGCGTGTATCATGTTTTGATGGGCCACAGCACACTTTTCTCAGAGGAATGTGATTTTAACACCTGTTCATCTCAGGGTTTAAATTGCTGCTGGAGCACCTTCTTAATGGTATGCCAGGAGTCGAGAGATCTCAGCAATAAAAGAAGAGAATAAACAGTTAGATCTCAGGTACTACCGTTAAATACACCTAGGAACAGTTAAAATGCAATTTTAGAAATGTTACATAACCCCTCGGAAGGATTTTATGCCGGAGAAACAGCCCTTTTCATCCATTTCCCTCTACTTTCAGTCTGCCAAGTTTGTCCCAGGGTGACTGGAGGTTGCAAAAGTTGCCTGTTGTTGTAAAGCTACCTGCACACATCTGTGCAAATTTGGGGTCACTGTCTGTCCACGCACCCTG